AGGGCTTTGTCTGAACATACATGTGAGTACAGCATGTGTAGTACTCACATGTATGTCCTGATTGAGAGTATGTACTCTGCCATGGGGCTAAAAATATTACAGAGTGAGTGTGAGCTTGGTATGCTCATGCTCACACCTGCATCCCTGGATAGGCCAGTGGGAGTCAAAATTTCAGAAAGGGCATAATCCGTCTCAGTGGCATATTGCCTTTCTTACAATAAACCCATTACATATCAAAAACCTACATGTAATTTATCAATTGCATGTATTAATGATAAAAAGAAAACATGTAATACTTAATTACATTAAAATAAACACATGTAATCATCAATTACACATATAGTGCAATTATCTATTTCTATCCTATTTCATATTCAGTTATTCTTTTCTACTTTGTCTATTCTCCATTTCTCTCTTTCTGTATGGTATTCAATGAAGATACCCATCATTCAACAAATATATTACACCTGGATCAAATTAGAGGATGATCCTACATGATTTGTTTGATGTCAATCTTTCTCATAATCACATGTAGCCTTAGTTCAAGCAACTGAGGCTGTTCATCTAAAACAGATCTCCTTGCCATGTTATGGCCGCCAAAGAAGGATGTCTAGGGTTCACATGCTAAAAGGATAGGCTATCATTGAGTAATTCACAAGGGTGATTCAGGATTATATGGTTACACACGCTAAATTAGCAATTACATATGTGCATCTATTTGGGATCACAAGCTAGTTTTTCACATAATCTGCTCGTTGTAACATCCCAATGTAGTTTTTTCACACTGGCTGTGCACTTTATTCTGTCCTACATATGTAAAACATATCTAATCAACCTGTAACAGTTATATATCTACTATTACATGGTTGTTTCCTTGCTCAATAAGAGCACCCACTATGGTTGCGCTAACTCGGTGATTTAGCGTTACCGTAACGCTAAAATACCCACAGGTCCACTATGGACTTGATTTAGACTTGCAGTCCCTACGACCGCGTCAAATCTTGCTTTCCCCATGTTCAAATCTAAAAACAGCTACGACTTGATTTATCGTAGGAAATCAAGTCGAAACTACTGTTCTCAAAACTTCAAACTGCATAACTTCATTTCTCAAACTTCAAACTTCAAACATCAAAACCTCACTTTTGAGCTTTGGATTCAAACTTCATCCTCGATTCTCAACTTCGAGACCTCACATTTTGGAACATTGCACTTTGAATCAAATCGATTTCAGTCAAGGGTTGATATTTTTCCTACCATAAACCGACCCTCACTCTGCTTGTTTCAACTTTACTCACAATTATCATTGTTAATGAATCACAAGACACTCTGGTAGTTCTTGTAAATTTCCGCTACAGTGAAATCTGAATGCACAATATCCTCCTACATCCTGAGGTTTTGTGAGACACCTTAAGAATGGAGGTGCAAAATAGTCAGTTGCTGAGTAGGCTGAGCTCAAGCTCGATCTGTTTGGATTCAAGTCTAAAAAGGTGAAGGTGGTGTGTGAAGCCTATAAAACATGATTTCAAAGATGAGTTGGTCAAACTCTTGTTGTTCATTGTCATCGTTTGAAGCCTTCAAAAGACCGTTGATTTGTCTTTTCAAGGAATTCAGCGCAGGCATTTGATGGAGTTTTTTTGGATGAGATTTATGAAAAAGATAAGTTATCTCATTTCAAAATCAAACCACTGTGGATCAGGACGATTCCCAGTGATTCATCGTAGCTAAATCAATCGTTACATCAATCCATAGTGGATTTCGTGCGTTTACCAACTTAGGTAAAACACGCGTGATTAAATCTCGCACTCAGGCACGCAAAATCTACGTTAAATCACCATCACAATAGTGGGTGCTCTAAGCTTCCTTATTGACACAAATCTGGCACATCAATACTTGACAGACCACACAGCCAAAGATCTGGAGGAAACTAAACAACACCTCTGGGAAGTCAACAGTAGAAACCTTGATAAAGGTTTGTAGGAATGTGCTGAGAACATGTCTGCAGAAGGTTTAAGCTGGTGTAACACCTCAATTTCATGCAATTCAAATCTGAGTATAGGAAGCCAAGGGTAATTGGGTATTACCAACTCTAAATATGGCAATAAAAGAAAAATCTCCAAGCCCAAGAGAGAGAGACAGTAGAGAAGTAATCATACCCAAGAGTTCCCGGATAGCTAGAAAGAAACGTGGCAAGCCAAGACTCCTAGGGTTATATTGGTACACAGGGTGCCCAAGCACTGTGAATATCATTCAACTTCTCCAAGTGGGAAGGGGAAAATGATTAGGAGTACAATTTTTCATAAAAGGATCTTAGCACTGGATACTTGAACCATGACACCCACACTACATATGTGCAGCAGACTGAGTGAATAGGTGGCTATCATGTACATACAGGTATGCTCAGTTATGTCCTCATCTGGATGAATGGATCATATGTGATACATGTTGTAACTTTTTCAGCTTGACAAAATCATTCCAGGAATTGACTACATACACTGACACAAAGTTTTGTGTACTAAACTTCATGTAACACCCTTTATGTTACTGACAAATGGCAACAAGAATGTTGCCTGAGTAGCCAGGATGATATATGTAGTGGATTGTTGGGACAATTTTGTCAATGGCAAAAAAGTTACATGATGTATCACATGCAACTTATTTAGTCAGATGAGCAGACGGCTGAGCAGAACTGTATGTACATGATAGGCAATTATCAACCAAGCCTGCTGCACATATGTAGTGTGTGTTATGGCTCAGGTGTGCAGTGATGGATCCTTTTATTACAAACTGCACTCTCAATCATTTCCCCCTTCCCACTTTGGGAAACTGAATGAGGTTTACAGTGAAGAGTCCCAAGAGATCTCTGTGAATTAGTTGAGAGACTGCCCAGATTGTGAGGTGAGAAGTTTTTCTCAACCACACAAACCAAGGTGGCTGCTGGCCTGTCACTGCTTGAAGGTGGTAAACTAAGGATAGCAGCCTTAAGTTGATTGGTACTTTAAGATGTGAGAACATCAAGCTCACTAACCCAAACAAAATGGATTTACAAGATCTGGAAAGTGGTAAGTGGTGTGCATGAAATATATGAGAATTGTATAAGCTATTCTGAAGATTATCCTCTTATGCAGAATTTGAATCCTTGTTATAAACACTCTCTTATCACAGAGACTTGAAATATGTTTTGAATTGTATTGTGGGCCCAATTATATGGCCAAATGATGCTTTTCCCTTACAGGATACAAAGTAGAATCCGGGCACGTGCCCGGCTTTGTGCCCAGATTCTTTTTGGCAGTAAGTTTGAATTCTGGGCCCAGACTTTTGCCCAGAAAATCAAAATTTACTGCCAAAATAATTCCAGGCACAAAGCCAGGCACGTGTCTGGATTCTACTTTGTATCCCACAACTATAGATTCACATGAAGAAATGATTTTTTGGTACTGGAAAAGCCCTTTCATGAAGTATATCAGAAACTTGAGCTCCTGTGGGCAAGCCAGCTCCCAGCCTGAAGTGTTTGAATTTAATATAGCAACATCTCTGGCTATAAGGCAATGGTAAAAGCATCTAAATAGATAGACAGTGCATAGTGTACAGAATCACAGAATGAATGAAATTGCCATAATGGAATACAGACAACAAAAGCACAGTGTATTTGTGGCTGTCTTGATAAGTCCTTTAAAGCCTTTTCCTCTCCTCTATTGTCCCCAGCTTGATGCTTTGATAATACTTCTACTGTCTTCAGAAAGCCAAATTGACCTACAGTCAACTCTGCTCTTTCCCATACATGTGTTGCCCCATACAAATTTTTGTCCACATTTGTATGGGCAGGGGAAACTACTCAGAATCCCATACCTCTCTTCATTACCTTGAGCCATGGGCAATTTGGGCAAACTAGGATACAAACTCATGACAATCACTGCAGAAAGCACAATACAGACTGATGCAGTACAGCCCTTGGGCAAAAACCAAGATCAATTTCTTTGTCATTTACCAAAATAAGCCTACCTCCTCAATGAAAATCATATACAGCTATTCAAGAAATTCGTGTCCTAGTGACACGAATCTTTTGGTTTTCCCCCCGAGCGCCACACCCAAATACAGGCGATGCGCAGCGCAGCGGAACAGTGACAAACACGGATCGGGTCACCCCCGTACCCCGATCTCATAACCACATTTGGGAATTCTCCCACATCCTGACCCACATCCACCACATCCACCATCAATTTTTTGGCACGGGTTTTTTTTTCATAAATTTCGATCTCGATCTGGTTCAGTCCTTGGTACGTCCCTTGCATATCCTTTCTCCACTGCATTAATCACTTCCCAGTCAAACAAGGGTGCTGACTGTTCTCGTTTTGACTTCTAGTCATGAGGGTACGACCCGGTAAATACGACGTTGGCTTGAAAGTACTGGCGGTGCAGTACCTACGTGCTGGAAAAACCGTCGACCAAGTACGTGGGATATTGAAGTCTCCCGTCAGCTACCGCACGGTCTCTAGATGGTATGGTCTATATCGACGAACCTACACCGTCATCCGCAACCCTGAAGACTATCAGCGACTCGGAAGACACACAGCCTTGACCGATGAAGACCGCGATTTCATCTTGGAACTCCTCGAAGGCAATCCAGCCCTGTACTTGGACGAGTATCGTCACGCTGTTTATCGCCGCACGGGCACGTGGATCTCGTTACAAACCGTGGCAAGCGATCTCAAGGATCGCCTCAATATCACACTCAAGAAAGCTCGGACGGTCCACCCGAACCAGAGTGCGTCAAAGAGAGCTAGGTATTTACATGCAGTAGGTGCTTTGACCCCGAATATGCTCGTGTTCTTAGGTATGAAACTGGGTCACATTCTCTTTGTATATCCCTGTCTGTAAAACTGCCCATAGCTGACCTGGTGTCTCTCGTTTTAGACGAGTGCTCGATTCAGGAGCGTTATCTCGGACGGCAGTTCGGCCGGGCCAGACAAGGACACCGAACGTCGCGTATCCCTTGGAGCCGTGGTGGCAAACGGTTCTCGCTCCTCCCGGCAATCTTCCGGGGTGGAGTATTGGCACTCGACTGCCAAGAAGGATCGTACGTTCGTCAGGATTTTGAAAGCTTCCTTAAGCATCGATTGGTACGTGTATTCTTTTCTTTGTTCTATCACGATGGATATTGACCTAGCTATCCCTTTGGTTGATTGTCACAGTTTCCGGTAATGAATCCCTACCCCCAAGCCAACTCTGTCTTAGTTATGGATAATGCTCGCATCCACCATGGTGGTAGGATTGCAGAGCTGGCTGCCGAGCATGGTATACGAGTATTGTATCTGCCTCCTTACTCACCGGATCTCAATCCGATCAAAAAAGCTTTTAGTGTGCTTAAATCACACTTTCGACGCACCCAGGCGCTCATTCACACCGCGGCGGACCAGAAGATTGAGGTGATTATGGATGCCACGTGGAACTTATTCTCGGGTGCTCTGATGCACAAGTTGTACTCGGTCTGTGGCTATTGGATGTAGATAATGTGATTAGAATTTTACCTCTCATGTCCTTTGCAAAGACCATCACTCCAATTTAAAGACTAAGTCCACATGTGTCTTTTAAGAGAGGTCCCAAAATAAGAACCGAGTGTCCAAATGTCTTTTAAGAGAGGTCCCAAAATAAGAACCGAGTGTCCAAATTGGATGCCTATGTTGTTCAAAAAGGGTATAACCCATGTGCCTCCCAACACGATAATATCAGATGAGGCTCATATGAGTCATATTATCCAAAAAGACACAAGGAGATGTCTTACACATTTTCCCAAAATCATGACCGTGAATGCCAAAATAAACTCATGTTTCTTGACCTTTGAGCTCGAGATTGAACATAAAGATCTAAAGTCAAGAAACATGAGTATCTTGACTTTAAAACTTGTCATCGAATGTATAGAAACTTATGCATTCGATGACAAGCTGGTGGGCAATGGGGCAATTCGGACATGGACATGTTTCAAAGGTGGCAAACAGATCGAGGGCTTGGTCATTGCATCAGGATACACTATCAGTCGATATCACAAGAGAGGGGATTTAACTTTGGCCGCGACCGACATGAGGAAACATAAGACAGCATATAGTCGACATCACCGCAAGATCAAGACTCAAAAACAAGACAAGTCACAAGAACAAGAACCGTGTGTTGAACACAAGAGAGGGGATTTAACTTTGGCCGCGACCGACATGAGGAAACATAAGAAAGCATATTGGAATAAGGAAATAACAGTAGGCCTCAAACCGATTTCAAGTGAAGGTTGTACTTCGGAACGGCCTTATAGATGTCATCTGCGTGAGCGAATGGTATTCGAAGGGCACGTAAATTTTCAAATGAGTAAGTCTTGCGATCCAAAAGACGGGCAAAATCATCGATGCCTTCTTGAGCCAAGATTTCGCGAGTCTTCACCATCTCAGGTCGTATACCCGCAAAAGACAAGAACTCTTCGAAAGGGGGAATATCGGGTGGTGGTGACAACCGAAGCGATTCGACCGGTACCGGAGGGGTTGGAAGTGTATACATGGGAGGCGCAGGGGTTGGTGTGGTATACATGGGAGGGGCGCCGAACGGATGTGCAAAGGCAGGGGGGGGTACAATGCCGAAGGGTATTGGGCGACAGGCAAAGGCTGTTGTTGACCATAGTAATTATGGTGAACAACCGTTCCTAGACTTGATGAAGCGTCAGACGAGGCAGGTGGGTTGAGCCCAAGGAGTTTGTTCTTCTCGATCTCGTAGTGGGCCACTGGGATCCAACGGAATTCGGGCCTTTTGGAAGGTGGGTTGACTTCATCAACACCGCGCACCCCGTCAGCCTGGTACGAAGGAGATGTAAGTCAACTATATTAACCGAAAAGAGGGGGAGGAAGGCAACCGATAAACCATGTTGAACTTACCCAATCATTGGCCCATGTTCTTATGCGAGAGGTATTAAGCAGTACGATTTCACCTGGATTTTTCGGGTTGGGCACCGAGGTGACATTTTCACCTCGCTTGAAGTCTTTGGCAAAGCGTGTCATCAATGTTCTAAGTCGTCTTTCGCCTAGGCTTAAGATGGCCGACTACAAAATTAGAACGTCAGTGCAGTGTTCAAATAAAGGTAAAGGGAGAATAAGTACTTACACCTTGTGAGCCTGCGTTGGAGACCTCACCGTCGGATCCTTCGGATGCCTCGCCGGCGTTTCGGTCAGGCTCGTAGCGTAGATTTGCAATGAAACGAGTGGCGGAATCAGCAAGTTTCGGGTTCTCATGATGGATCTTGAAACCCATAGCGGTCGAAGCAGGAACAAGCAGAGTGGCGGTCATGAATTGCTGAATAGAATCGTTATCATCAATGACCATTTTGACTGCCTTGATTTTACGAGTACCGTTGACAAATCCTTGAATGGTGACCGTTTGCGAATTGCAAGCCTTACTAAGAGCTTCGGATACCCGGGGAAGGGTCTTGTTGCAAGAGTCGAAAAGCTTCGGTTTGAAAAGGGTAAAGTGAAGCTGGGCGTTGGGATCGGTTATCGTGAGTTTGTTGTTCTGGACTTTGGGGTTGTAATTTTCGTACTTCGGGACAGGCGTTTTGGACTGGCTAGGGCGCGACCCGCCAGGGGTTTTGCGTCTCTTAATGTTAGCAGAATCGTCAGGTTGCACTAGTTGCCAAAGATTAAAAGTAACTTGAAAGGTTCGAGCCGTGTCGGATTCTGCAGCTAGCAAGTCCACAGTTCGATTGTGAGCTGGCGAGTCGGGCGGTGAAAAGTCTGGTTGCATGTCAACATTTCCGGAACCTTGAGGGTCAGCATGACTTGGCCTGTTGACAACATGCTCAGGCTCAGCGAGTTCTACATAGGCAATCTAGTCAATATGTGATCGTGGACGCAAAAGAGAGTGAAACAAACTCACCATCCTCTTCTTCAAGATCCTCACTTTCAACGTCAATGTCCTTCGCAGGCCTCTTATTCGAAGAAGACGCTTGGGTGTTCGGATCAGTAGGCAGGGTACTGCAGACGGTGGAAGGAGAACCAACGGGAGTGTTTTCCAAAGAAATGGGGGTATCGAAGATCATGGGATTGATATGAGGATTGTAACCCAAAGACGATTGCGACCCAGATCGAGAGAGGCCAGCAGGAGTATGAAAGGACGGGTTATACACGGAATTGGAGAGATGCGACCGTTTCGAAGGATCTTTGAAGGGGGATGTCACTGGCGAACGGCTATTGAAAATCGCAGGACCCAAACCTTCCGAGACCGCAGAGAAACCTGGGGTACACGCGAAAATCGAATCACCAGCTCTAGATTGACCAGGAGGACTACATACCAAATCAAACATTAAAGATAGCTCATCGTGGAGATAAAGATGTGCTAGATGACTCACCGAGCAGCTCGGGCTCGACCCAGGAGCGCTTGATAGCTGCGGGTACGAAGGACACGGGACATCACATCGATTTGCCCGTTGGAGGACCTGATAGGATAACAAAGACAGTAATGTCAGACGAAGCAAGTTACGATTGAAAGAAATATAGAGAAATCGAGGCTCAGGCTCGAGGAAATGAAATCATGGAAATCATAAGGGGAAAGAGACCAACGAAGGAACATGTGAAAGCTTCCTGTTAACCATGCTGAGTGACAGATGAAAAAGATGTTTAAAATTGCTGATGACGAGGTTGGAACCGGGAAGGGGGAAATTGGAACCGAGGGGGCCCTTTTGAGTTGGTCAGGTGAAATCGCTCGACTCGTGGTTGACAACAAGCACCGATAGATCGCTTAGGTTTGCGTGCCGGGAGTAGTCGTCAAATGAAAGGTTGGTCGACTCGTGATTGACCAGGACAAACTGATGGCTTAGGTTTGTGTGCCGGATGAGGCTTTCAGAGCTTGAATCAGGCGTCGAGATCTTGATGGGTGATGTTCAGGTGATATGAAGGTGGATACGAAGGTGGATATGGGTGGTGGATAAGGGTGTAGTGCCCGTGGGTGCTTGAACAATGATCGCAAACACCCACAAACAAACCCGCATGGGCGGTACAAGATATCTTCGGATCTAGCCGGATCGAGTAAGCCACAGGCCGTTACAGTCCTGCTGCGCTGCGCAGCGCCTGTATTCGAGCGTGGCGCAGGGGGGGAAAATGCAAAAAATTGTGCCACTAGGACACGGATTTCTTGAATAGCTGTATTATGGGATAAGAGCAATATTTCAAGAAATCCTTTTGATACATGCTCTGTGCTAACCTATACTCAAGCACATCCATTTTCTTGATATGAGAAAGAACAAAGTTGACTGTAGTGGACATGGCTACATATATGATGATGGTAAGGTCTCCTTTTGGCCCCTATCGTCCATGCATGTTGTAGTATTCTGACTGATCTTAGTGTTGGTAATGGAAAAATACATATCAAAAATTCCGGGGCAAAAGAAAAGAGATCAAGGAGACAAGTATCTAATATATAAATACGTCGAATGAACTCGCATGAAGGACCGTTCAGTACGGTTCGTTTGTTCTCTTGGGTCCGGTACTTTTTGCCCCACGTCTCTTTTCATTTTTGCTTTTCATATGTTTCATGCTTTTTATCCGTTTGTTCTTCTCTGCACCCACCTTTTGTGGCTGCTTTTCTTGCTCTCTGTAAAGGAGCCACGTTTGCGAAGCAACCTTTGTACTTTTGTTTCCACCGATTGTGTTCTTCTTTTTCAAGACCGGTAATTTTACGCTTCAATCGCAGTTTTGAACAACAACGACTTTGTTCATAGTTGTATCTAGCACACCAAAGGTGCATGTCCTCACTCAATGCCAATTTCAGGTCAATCGACATGGATTGTTCATCGATTTTAATATTTTGGTGCTCTTTGTTTTCTCTCTTCAAGAAAACACATTTCATTTACGTCTTCTCTGTGTCATTCAAAGTCCTTTTGATGACTTTTTAAATTTGCTTGCTTTTAAAAGTGAGGTGCATTTCGAATCACTGCCGGCGCCACCTCACTTTTGCACTGCTTGTGGAGACAAATCCAGGCTATAAAATGGCCCATCTTTTGCTTACCATCACATCCCCACAGTTCCCCGTACTCTATGGACAACACTACTTTTGATATTTTATTATCCCTCATTGTAGCTGTCCTTGATTATTATTGCTTTTCTTATCTTGCACCAATCCTCAATTCCTCTTTCTTGTATTCCATTTCAACCGCGTAGATTCACATAAAAGATGAAACAACATGAAATTATTTCAATTTTCCTCTGCTCTACAGAATGAATCCTCAAATCACAATTCATGCAGTTTTTATCAGTTATAATCACAGCCCAAGTTGAATTTCAAAAAATTGTTACTTGTTGATGACTTCACAACTTTTACTTCCCACATGTAGCAGATATGTGGTGCTATAATTTCAGCTTTGTTTTCATCAACCAACATTAGGCTGGTGATGATTTACAATCTGAATTTATGATTCTTGCGACTTTCAACTTGATTAGTTTTCCATTCCTCTTTTGAATTTCTGCGCTCTTGGTCAACATTTGTCAGTGCTCAGCAAGAGAGAAAGACAGAGATAGAGAGGTTGAAAGTCAAATAGCAATAAACATGTATTCAATTATTTTGTCTCACAGTGACGAGTGACGACTGTAAGATCAAACCCATTGATAAAGAAAAGCGGAGCAGGTATGAATGGGACACAGTACATGGACATCAAGAAGAAGAAGAGGCCCATCTTGGAATTTCTTTTCACTATAAAATGAGATAATTGACTTGATCTATTCCATGAAAGTAACTTGTTAATTTTCAGCCTCTCAGAGCAAAGAACACATTGAGGCTCATAATAATTACAAGAAAAATCAACTTGGCAGAAGGATTTGTAACCTCATTCTAATTTCTGAAGGAAAAATCATAAACATCCATCCATCCATACCCTATGAAATCTATCCATTCATCACAAAGAGAGTTGTGAAGTTGAATGTTATAATTTTGCTCCATTCATGATTCTCAGATACAAGATAATTTGGGAAATAATAACAAAAGTTAATTTTGATTGAGCTTCAATGTCATTCACAAGTTTGTCTCAAGCAATTGACTTGAGACTGAGTTCAGATCTTCAACCACTTCTATCTTTTTGGAGTGAAGAATCAACTCTTGAAGTATTAGATGAAACAAATTGAGTCCATTATTATTGTGTGGTTGACACTGCGAATATAATGTATTTTTCCGAGGTGAAAAATGATTACATTTATTTCACAAAATGATTAAAAATGCATTAATTCTGCATTAACTGAGTTCAGATCTTCAACCACTTCTATCTTTTTGGAGTGAAGAATCAACTCTTGAAGTATTAGATGAAACAAATTGGGTCCATTATTATTGTGTGGTTGAAGGATTAAGCAAATTTTATCTCTTTGTAGGAAACCATATTCTCGGATATCAATTTCTTCAGTAAGTCTACATCAATAAGTGCCTTTCAATCAATCACAAAATTCTTCCACAAAAACAAAAAAATTGCTCAACACCAGAATGTAATTCACATACTTGATTCAGAATAATTTCAATAAATGTCAAGTTATCACAATCCAGCTTATCCTCATGTTCCTTAATATGAACAACAAAATCAAACAATTGGTTCTTCTGATTCATATAATCATTGATCTCCACTATGGCAAAAAGTCTAGTGAAGATTATTTGAATTGCTGTTGAAAGAATGCATTTGACCACAGGGTTGACCTCAGAAATATGAATTCTGGATCATAAGTTTTTACTCCTATATACTATCATGGTGACAAAACAAACCTGAACATATATTGTTTGTTTAGATTATCAGTCACTGGTTTAGAAGACGTTGTTTGCCTTACAAATTTTGCATTATGAGCCTTACTAGACAGAGAAATTGAGACACTTAATAGTGCAGGGGGGTGATGAACATCATCTGTTCAAGTGTTATCTTTCTTTACAGATCTTCAACACCAATGTTTCCCTAATCTTGTCCATTTTGTCAGGGAATAACAATGATAAAGCATGATTTTGTGTGGCAAGTTTCAATATCATTGTATGACCATTCATGGTTCATGTAGTGTGATAGAAATATTTTGTAATATTACTTGTTTGTGGCACACTTTCATCAACTTCAAACAATAGCGTTCCATGTAATTACCCATTTTGTCCCATGCCATATTGGTGTGGCCAGTTGAATGCCTTGCAAGGATGGGTTTAGAAATGTGTATGGGTTTTATTCAGTCTTTGAAGTGGTTTTAAGTTACAGTGTGTTATTTTGTGACAATTGGATAAATAAAGTGTTCCCCTGTTGCGGGCACGCCCGCATGTTCTCTAGTAAATAAAAAAAATTAGAACTTCACGCTGTGATAGATGTGATGATCATCCATAACACTGATGATATTTCTAGATGGCAACATTCTCATGAATGGCAACTGGAAGAGCTGGCCGAAGAATCAAATAGAGGTCCATAATCCGAAGGCTTATAAGTTTTGCCAGATGAAGAAAGCTGTAGAAAGAATCTGAGATGATTGTCATAGGTATGTGCGAATTCTCAACGAGGTGACTTGTACTTTGCAGAATCGCTGAAAATCGTCAGAAAGCCATGAGCCAACTTTTGGCAACAAGAAATCATTCGAACATGAAACGGCTGGACACGCTGACGATATTTCGGTCGTGTCATGGGAGCCACATTGCGGACTACCATATCACGGATAGCAGCGAACTTTTGAAACTCTTGGTTTTGAAACCCACACTTGATGGTACATATGGACTCCTTGTGTACTTCGTGCCGGCCGAGCAAGGGGGAATCGGTCACCAATCTTCATCCTTTGCAAAGAAAAAGAACACTCTCCATGAGCACGTCACACTATAGTCTGCAGACTGATGTCACCTTTCCTTCACTTGTTTGCCGTTGTCACAGATCTGGTCCTCCCGGCAGCGAACTCATCTATAAACCAGTCAGAGTCAGCCCCATCATCTGTGCACCCCGTCCAAGTGGCTGTCTATCCGTGGCCAGTTGTGTGTAAGATGTGTACCCACGGTGGTCGTCGAATCGTCGATAGATATGTGCACGGTTGACAATCATCTTCATCCTCACATGTGGCTGGCGGCTCTTGAAATTAGTCTACAACATCTCGCTTCTATAGGTATACGTATACTTGCAATGCAGCTGTGATAACACGTGATAGTATGTAAAGGGATAACTCTCTAAAGCACCCCTTGCAAAAAGACAATCAACCCACTTCAATCGTAGCCTACAATAGCTTTGAATTTGTTGAGTGGACCATCTATCAGCCGAAGGTTTGTCAATAATCATCCATCGGTTGGTTTTTACCCCCTATCTCTTGATGATCGTTAGTATCAAGTCGACCATGTGGTTTTATGTAGGTGTAACTTTTTCCCAAACGAAACCGGCTCTTGTTCCGTTGCGCCTGCTTGGCAAATACACCCCCATCCAAAGACGTGTCTGTGTGCAGTACGATCAAAACAAGTGACCGTCATACCTGACTGTCATTCCAGAACTTCAAACTCCCATAGGCCCAAGTTTGTATAAAGGACGGTGAGCAATTCGGACCGTCTTTCAAACCTTGTTACGAGGATCCTCCACATCCCGGTGTTGGTCTGACTTACATTTGATATCGAGATAGAAGTCATCCTTGTCACGCATCATCTGCACACTTTTCTGGATCAGTTTCGATATCAAGAGAAGATTAAAGGATTGTCTGAACGTATGGTCATGAATTTTTGATCATATCATCGGATCTTTCAATTCATTCGTCACTGAGGGAGATCACCTCACCCGTGAAATTCTGTGACTCGTGGATTCAATCCGAAAGGCTTTAGTGTTATCTCAAAAGGTGAAACTTGAAAACAGATATCTAGAATTACTCAAGCGCTTAGTTCATACGTTAGACTTGACATTCAGTGGGTTTCAACATGAGTGATTCTATCTCTTTGGCCACGACCTCCTTTCCAACGGTTCGCGGTAACCAAAGCGGTTCGATGCTCCCCTGCCCACCTGTAAGTTATCTTATTGGTTTGGTCGTCTCTGCAGCCACAATCCTTTCGACATAGTGAACAGAGTGATTTTTATGGCTTGTAGATGTTTCCAGACTTGAGTCGTGAAGAATTGGAGCGACTCAGGATGGCCTCTTCAACAGAATCGACGAGCTTTGATGTGAGTCAGATCTTAAAGCCATTCTAACCTTTTGTTTGTTTTCGATCACTAACCGATCAACATTCGTCATGTGCTTATAGCAGCTCCCTCGATTGATCCCAGATCTCGCACTG